GCCGGGCTTACGCACTTTATTCCGTAACCGGGCATTTGTGGAATGATGTGTGAGTGATATATACATAGAATTGTCAATCAGAAAGATTTATGTCAAAGGGATTTGAAAAATTAGAATTGTTATCTTTACAGTTACTACTTCATGGCTATGGGTGCGGGTAAATCGTTCAGTATTACAAATGATGATGTGGTCTACATTACTATGCCATTGTATCATTCAGCTGCTGGTATTATGGGTTGGTTATTTATAAATTCACTGTTTTTCTTCCTGTCGTTCTTTGAAGTTTAGCGATTTTCTGGGATTCTGGGGAAATTCGAACTCACAACAAATGATTTCGTCTTTTAGAGGAGATTTTGAGTCACTGAGAAGACCAAACAGTTAAAGGCAGTTGGCACGATAAATGTCTAAAACGTGTAGAACTAATACGTCTGGCAGGACTAGATTCGGCTCTGAGCAAGCGCTGCGTAGCGCATTTTCCAAGGAAGGTACCTTTGTAGCGCCCTCTCAAGCTACAACATAAGGACCCGGACGCCTGACGACGACCGATGCTGATGCTCGTATCGCTTCATTTGCGGAGCACCGTATCGTACCTTCCTGAGTCACTGGATCAGCCACGGCTAGCACAGACGGGAGGTTTTCGGACAGATCGCATTCAGAACCCCGTTCAAAAGGCTAACCTTATATAGGGGGCTAACTCCCGCGTTATTGACAAACATTCTCCCCTCCGGTTCATTTTTGGACCCATGGCCTGGATCCAAAATGCCTCGAGGGTCTTGCGGGCGGAAGTTTGCGTCTCTTGCTCCAGGATCTCAACCGTGACCCCGAAGTCGACCCCGTTGTGGTTATTTACCCTGTGGCAACCTAGCGCTGTTTGAACCCGTGACCTTGCCTTGCCCTCAAGGTGTTCTTTTACCCGCACATAGAGCGGCCTCGCCGTCTCCCCTATGTACTCGTCTCCGCATGTTTCACAGGAGATCTTTTAGACCACCCCTCGCATTGCGCAGTCTCCCCATTCCTCCCACCAATCTCAAACACCGTTGCCACAGGGTAAATAACCACAACGGGGTCGACTTCGGGGTCACGGTTGAGATCCTGGAGCAAGAGACGCAAACTTCCGCCCGCAAGACCCTCGAGGCATTTTGGATCCAGGCCATGGGTCCAAAAATGAACCGGAGGGGAGAATGTTTGTCAATAACGCGGGAGTTAGCCCCCTATATAAGGTTAGCCTTTTGAACGGGGTTCTGAATGCGATCTGTCCGAAAACCTCCCGTCTGTGCTAGCCGTGGCTGATCCAGTGACTCAGGAAGGTACGATAATTTTTCTCCCTATTGTTGACGTGATGAGGGGGGGAGGCTCGAAGGTCTATGTGGGGATGTGAGATATTTGATCGAGTACTCATAAATCAACTTCCACCCTTTCAGGCTCTGAAGAAGGTGAACTCACCGAAACGTCGGCCAGCAAATAAATATTATTGTCAACCTTGTGTGGAGTTAAGCAACAACTAATATCACATCACCAAAATGCCAAGGTTTATTGAGAGTCAAACATGGCGGCTAGCGTATCGGTTATTGGCACGATGCCAACGGGAACTCGTCCAAAATTGCTTTCTGAGTCGTGTAGAACAGAGGCTTTTTCGCAAGTTTTGACTGTTTCACTTCTCTTTTTCGCCACTTTCCCCACTAGTACCCCTGTTGCCATTTTGGACAACTTTCCAAATATCGTGCCAACTGCCTTGAAATCGCTTGTTTTAGTTCCTCTTAGCAAATAATTTGTAGAGTGAGTTAAAGGCAAATGGCACGATAATCTCTAAGAAGAGTAGGACTGATACCCCTGGCAGGGTAGGATTCCGCGACCTAAGCAGTTGCTATGTAGTGCCTTTTTTGAGAGAGGTACCCTTAGAAGGGCCATGCAGCGTACCCACCGTAGCGGTTATTGGCAAGATGTCTACGGAAAACTCGTCCGAAATTGTCATTAAGGACGAAGGTTTTTCTTCGCAGGTTTTTGACCGTTTCACTTCGTTTTTTCGCCATTTTCCCCACTATATGGCGCTTTGCTAGCGTTTTAGACCAATTACCAAATTATCATGCCAAATGCCTTCAAGCTCAGGTATCCATGTGCAGTCGTTTGCAGAAAAGAGGGATT